AGATAAACACAACAAAAGATTAATCTAATTTAGTACCATGTAATGTAATTTCGCTTGAATGAATCTAGTGTCCTCTAATTTAATTTAATTTAAATTTAATTTCGAAGAGGAGCTCCTACAGCCCCTCCATCTGGGCAAAACAAAACAAAACCAGAAATGAATTTGAAGGCCGAAGTTGCCAACCTCTGGGCAGGAGAAACACAGATACTCTCACCTGCTTTAAGATTAATCCCTCCTGGTCCTATACTCAAGAGGAATAACTGGGGAAATTATTTCTAGAATTAGAACAAGAAGAATATAGGTGAAAGACAAGGAAGCTACTTTGTCTGAATAAACTCACAGGTTTCAGAATTTATTCATAGAATCACAGAGTTGGAAAAGGGGGCCTCTGAGACCATCTAGTCCAACCCTCCTCAAGGCCAGAATCCAAATCAAAGCAGATCAAACAGATGAGGGTCCAATGTTCTCTTGATTAATTTCATGTTTTTAATTTAAATCAGATTCCAGACAGCTTACAACCGAAATGTTAAAAAACAGGCAAATATTGCTTTGAAAGGAGCCACAATATTTTGCCATATCACTATTTTAATCTCCGAGATCTGCAGTTAAAAGACAAGATGGGCAATAAAGATGTAGTCGTAAGAGAACTCCTTGGACCACAACCCCCATAAACCCCCTGCTGGCTGATGGGAGTTGAAGTCCAGCAATAGAAAGACTCCTTGGACCACAACCCCCATAAACCCCTGCCATGGGCCATGCTGGCTAATGGGAGTTGAAGTCCAGCAATAGCAAGAGAAGTTGTTCCCAAGCTTGGGTCCCCAGATATTCCTGGACTCAAACTCCCAGCCTTCCCCACCAGATGTGCCGGCCAAGATTTCTGGGAGTTGCAGTCCAAGAACATCTGGGGGAACCAAACTTGGGAAGCACTGGTCTTGACGATCACCAAGTCTCCCGTTTGTGAGTTAATTAAAAAGGGGATCAAGTAGCAAGAAAGGCACTGTTCTTGGCAGGAAGACATTTCTTTGCCCGAGAACTCACGGGAGCAGAAAATGTCCTCAAAGCAAAAAATATTGAAGAATCTGAGTATTGACAAGAGATTGTCTAGCGCCCCTGTCATCAACACAATTTTTGGACCTGACTCGTTTTGATTAAACTTGAGCAGGAGTAACCATTTTAGCAGGCTAATTGTTCACCTGAGCTTCATTAGAATTGCAAAATTGGGGTCAAGCCATGCTTATTATTAATAATTTATGTAAAGTCTTCTTTCAGACATTTCACCCACCACAAACTGACCCCTCCCCTTGAAAACAGAGAGCTTAATGCCCTTTATCGTTACAGAAAGGTACATTTTACTTACCTTCTGCATGCACAGTTCCTAAGCTGATACATTCACCTGAGATGATGTAAATCTGGCTAACAATTGCAAAGGGTGGGCTGCCTCTCCAGCACCTGCCATTTATGCTGCAAGTGGGAAATCGGAGCGTTAAAAGTGGTTCAGCAGTGTTGTTTTTGGAGAAGGGGAAAGGGAAGCAGTAATCACTTTAGGAAATAAGCTGACAGCACTCGTAATGCTGCATTTATATATAAATATGCATTATTAAGTGCTTTGGGAAAGACGAGCCGAGTTATAAAAACAACACCTGCACCTGCAAACAGAACGAGCCACACAGGCGATGCTACGTTCGTTCGGTGAATCGGTGGTTAGCTCGCCTTACGACAGGTCTCTGGGATCTCCGGCTGAGAATGGCTATTTCTCGTCATTCTGTGCTCATTTTTATGTGCCATCAAGTTGTTCCTGACCATTGGAACCCCTGTGAATTAGGGACCTACAACAGCTCTGCCGAGTTCCTCCAAACTCCACGCCATGGCTTCCTTTAGGGAGTCTGTCAATCTCTCAGTATTCCTCCTCTCCTGCTGCCCTCCACTTTCCCCATCCTTGTCTTTTCCAGCAGATCCCGCCTTCTCATGCCATGCCCCAAAGCAGGAGAGCCCCAGGTTTCATCAATTTTACTTTCACAGAAAGTTCAAGTTTGATTGGGTCCCTTCTGGCCCAGAAACCAGGGAACTTCCATACAATGCTGGTGTTCCAGCACTAAAGGATGATCTTTTCCCGAGAACTAAACCAAGCTGCTAAGTCCTCGTTATTCTGAGTAGGAACAGCAGCAACCATCAGGAGCGCCATTAATGCTGACCTTGGGACTGGCAGGCAGACCACATACCCGGGTGTCCCCTATTGCATTAACTCCCTATATTTTTATATTATTCAAGTTCCAGGTGGGATTTCCAGTTGTGGTCAGAACATTCAGTATTCCAGATGTTCTCAGATTACAATTCCCATGTTCCTCCTCCGTTAGCAAGAGCGGCTGACAGACGCTGCAAGGCAACATCTGGAGGAAGATCTCATGTCACCAAACTTTAATTCCTGCTAAAGGGCCGAAGGACCCAACTGGCTGGAAAACGTTGTCTCATCAGAGACCACATGGCAGCTGCTGACAGTCAGAACTGGCAATATGAAGCTCAATGGAGGAACGGTCTGAAATGGGGTGAAGAGATTCCTGTTGCAACCGGCTCTTTATGTAGAAAATGGATGGGCCAATCATGGTGGTCTAGCGGCCCTTGGCCTACCACTCCCATCAGCCTCAGCCAACAGAGCTCCTTTTCCCTTGGCTTGTAGTTCCACTTCTCGCAGTTCTACTTTGCTACACGCTCTACTTCCTGGCATGATCCTATTTCTCCACTCCACCGCTTGACACCTCTCTCCCTAGAAAGCATTGCACTCACACCTGGGCCTCTGCCGTATGGTGACCCCACGGATAAGTGCTTTCCAAAAGTTCTCACACCTTTCAATCCTGCTCAGCTCTTGCAAACTCAGAAGTTGTGGCTTCCTTTAGGGAGTCGGTCCGTCTCATATTGGCTCTTCCTCTTTCCCAGCTGCCTTCTGCCTTTCCCAGCATTATTGTCTTTCCTATAGATTCCTGCCTTCTCCTGATGTGCCCAAGGTAAGGCAGCCTCCATTCCTACATTCTGGCCTCCAGAGTTCAGGCTTGATTTGATCTAGGACTCCTTGTTTGTCTTTCTGGCAGTCCAAGGTATCCGCTAAGCTTTCCTCCAGCACCGTATTTTAAATAATTTTTTTTTAAAAAGTCTGCTTTCTTTACTGTCCACTCACAAACATCCTCGTTACTTTTTCAAACATGCTTTTAAATACCTTCTATTGACCAGTTTTTATATGCTATACATTTGTTTGCAATAACGGGGAATTCACTTTCTGTTTCTTAATACTCCTCTTTTTGATACTCTGTAAGCCAACTTGGGTCCTTTGACTGAGAGAAAAGCCAAGTGGATGAGAAAAGTAGCTTCCCCAGAGCCTTCTCATCTCAGAAACCGGTCTTCTCTGGCCTTTGTAACGGATGGATCCGGTTCCCTCTCTCCTTACTCCGTACACCCCACTCCCCCCATTTCAGTTGGCCTCCTTACATCCAAGACTCTGCTTGGCACTAGAGATCTCTTCTTCGGCTGCAAATGTCCACCCCTGCCAAACCGACGGCCTCCTCTTCCCCGACAGAAGGTGTGCAGTCCGATTCGGAACAACTCCTTCAGGTTTTCCAAGTGCTGTCATCGTGACTGCCCACCACCACAGACGCCACACACGCCAACACAATAAAAGATTTATTGTCCATGGAAAAATGGAATGCTTCCCCCAGATCTGAACATGTCAGGGGTGGAGAACGCACACACACACTCACACATGCACGCACATGCGTACACACTCAAGACACACACTTGGGAGTTCACATCATGTGCAAAGCTAGGAGATGGTGTGGCGGTTTTCCGTTTCAGCTCACGCAGAATTCCAGGCGATGACCGGGGTCGGTTCCACACAGTGGCAGCGTGGAAAGTGAGGAGGGCTGAGTCTTCAATAGTGCCGGGCGAAGCTGGGCCGGTTCGGCCGCTCCTGGCCCGCAAAGCTGCCTGGCCCGCTGGACCCCGGATCCGGGGTCCCGCCTTGCGCGAACCCAGCCCGCCTAGGGAGAGAAAGTAAGATGTCAGCTTCCCGTCTGGGATCCCGTTACACTCGGCACCCTCTCAGTCGGGGGCTTCAAGTAGGCTGATGGCTCTGGCACGTGGGGAGCGGCAGCTGCTACCCCAACGTAAATCTTACCCAGGGATGCCTTCTCTGTGCATCACATGGCCCGAACCCGACTGTGTGGGGACGCTCCTCTCACCCCCTGATAAAAGACAAAAACAAGACAAAACAAGGGGAAGGGGAAGATGAGTCACTACGGAAATAACGTTGAGGCCTTATTTTAACATCCTGGGTGAGAAAACCTGTGATGCTCCTGAAGAGGATGGAGTCCAGAGACCATCTGTGCCAGCTGATACAGGCCAGCTTGTGGGTTACATTGGACAATGAACCCGCCGACAGCTCTCTCCTACCAGGCCAGGCTGTGATGCACAAAGCTCAGGGTTCTCCTCTGTTCCTGTTTTCCGAGGCATTCGCTATTTCTCACAATTTTGCGTCAGCTACTATGAGACTCTCTCCTGATAATTTTTCAAAGAACTGGCCCGTGAACCTTCCACAGGTAAAACAAAGACCAAACCTGGGGAATGGTTCATGAAACACTCCTCTTCACCACTAAGGGGTCCTCTCCCTCCCTCCTTCTCTCCCTAAGAAGTATCTGAAATGTGCTGCTTTCTCAGGGACAAAGTCAGCCACAAAATTAAGAAATAGGGGTCCCGCTTTAGCTTGGGATATCTTTGCCTCACCGGCAAGTCTTGCCATCTATTTCAGAAATGAAAAGTCAGAGGCGACCTTATTTTTCACCTTCCCATCTTTCATGCTCCCTTCCCATCATCTCTCCGTCAGCGTTGCTCGGCCATGAACGGCCTGGATGGCTCTCGATCTTGCGCCCGTGATCCCAGTCACGACTGTCTCTGGGTGGAGAAAAGAATCCCCACAAGGGGTATGTGCAGGCATCATTTACCAAGCATAAAGGAAGCAGGCGGAATAGCAACAACAACAATCATATTTAATCCCTCCCCCCCAACCCCAGCATAATTTTCTGAGCCAGAAAATAAAAGCCAATTCATGGCATGCCTCTTTCTTTCTTCTTCTACTTACCGGGATGAGGGAGGCATTCCCCGGCCTTTGCTCAGCCTCCTCTCAGGCCCGTAACCTCCCCAGCTCTCCCGCGAAGGGCGGTCGGAGCTGCCGTGCCGGTCATCCGGGTAACGCTGGAGGGGAAACCACGGAAAAGGAATGAAGCTTCTCAAACAAGAGAAATATGTTCCTTGTTATCACAGCGGAGCCAACCATCGGGCCCGCTCCCCCTGCAGCTGCTGTATCAGTTCGGGGCGGGGGGTTTGCTTCTTCTTCACAGAGCCCCCCCCCCGTCCGCTTCCGGGATGAGAGAGACCCGAAGCGTTCTCCCTCCCCCTCTTTAAGAGGTAACAGGGCCAGCAGGCTTGCCCTCATCGCCCCTGCCAGCCGTTTCCCTGAAGAATTTGCCCAGGTTTTCATTGCCATTTCTCCTCAGGCCAGGGAAAGTGGTGGGAAAGGGTGACCCTAAGGGCTTCTGGGGTGGCCACGGACAACTTTTAGGCAAAAGGGGAAGAAACAGGAATAATCTTAGAATGGCAGAGTGGGAAGGGACCTTCTGAATCACAGAGCCCAGCCCCTGGCAAGGGGGTACTGCAGGAATTTGAACTCCCAACCTCCGGCTCCACAGCCAGATGCCCGGTAAAACAGCCAAAGAACAGCCCAAACAACTGCTCCCGGCTCCTACTACACGTGGGGAAAGGTCTTTTTACAATAGTGAGAAAAAGAAACGCGGGTGGGGGGGGACATTGAGACAGCTCCCCCCTCTAAAGTTCAAGAGAGGTCCATGAAGGCCCTCTGGAAAACTGAGCACCTTTGGTTTAAGCGGTGGACCAAAGTGCTAGAACACTTGGAAACCATTTGGCTCTTCTCCTAGAAGGCACCGTGGGGGATTTGAACTCCCAACTTCTTAGCCAGAGTCCTAAACCAACTGAGCTGCCCTGTGGTACGTAATCAAAGGAGGGCAGCCTTGGTGGACTGCAGAGACCTCAAACCCACCCACCCCCGGCCTAGACTGTAAGCCCCCACGCAAGCGCTCTTCTGAGCTGCTCCCACCTTTACAACCCACGCCTCATCATATCCCAGGCGGGCTTACCTGTCCATTTCCGCCTGAGAGCGACCTGGAACTTTCTCTCCTGCAGAGTGGGGAGAAATAAGTGGGAGAAAAACCAAGCGTGAAGCACAGTGGGACAAAGCAAGGCTAGACAGCAAAGTTCTGCTGCTGGGACGCCTTGTAACAGAAATCAGCAGGATTTCCAACAAGAAGCCTGGCTCCTCCCACCGAGCGCTCTTGGGACTGCCATAAGTCACCGAGCCGGCAATGCCTGCCATAACCCCAGCTCTCCGAGAGGCTCCTTAATTCCTCACAAGGCAGAATTGGGGTGGAAGCAGCTCATCTACCTGTCCACCGCGTGGTCCTGATACCGGCCGCGATCTCGATGCTCAAAACTGTGGAAGCGCTCTTGACGGTTGAAGTCCGAATGGTATCGGTCGTCCATGGCCATTCGCTTCGCCTCTGGCCAATACGAGTCGTCCCGCCTACAAAAAGGGACACGCTTAAGCAACTCTTGTTACAGGCGAGAAAGAGGCTCCTTTTATGGTTCAGGCCACCTTTGGTTTTGCTATCCCAAGGATTTTAAAAATCATTTCAACGTTGTTGGGTTTTTTGTTTTTTTTTTTACACACTGCCTTCTGGTGACCTATCTCAATTATTCTGGCCGCTGCCGCTGACGAAAGAAGAGAACCAAACAGGTCTCTGTGCAAGCAGACAAGCAGGATTCATTGGGATGCTGGCTTATCCTCATCGCCAAATGCAGCCAGAGTGATCACACCACCCCCTTCTCTCCTGTGCCTCATCAAAAGCTGCCACTCAGCTGCAAGATTGTGAATCAGACTTAGCAGAATTAGTCCCTTCCTTTTGGCTGAGAAATGGGCTGTTACTCTAACGGGTCAAACAGAACCTGGTGGCTGTCTCGTGTTGAAAACTTATTCCACTTCAAAGGCAGAGTCGGTCCCTTGTTACGAACCCTCCCCTTGTAGCAGAGGAAAACTGCTGCTAAATCAGTTTATGCTGTAGTGCCATTTGACTCAAAGAGCCTGCACAGCCAGAGTCATGAAGGGGACCAGGAGAATGACAGAAACCCATCTGCCTGTGATTGAAAACTCATTTTGAGGCGCCCGGCCTGTGAATCCCTATAGCAACCGCCTCTTTCGTGCCTTCTGCTAAAAGGCCACAAGCTGTGTGAAACCATGCGCGTGTGTCATCTTGACACAATCTGATCTCCCTGCTCAGCGACTTGCGGACCAAGCCGGCAAAACAAGACCCCCGCTCTCCTGGTCAGGGAGGGAAGAGAATTTGAGGCATCGGGAAAAACTTTCAGCCTCCAGGTCCTATGGTTTGTCACGGGGGAAGTGTGACGTTCTGATTTTTTAAATGATGGTGAGGAGATACATATTGGATCCATGCATCTTTGAAAAAAGAACAGGTAAAAACCACTGCTCCAGGAGCAAAAAATAAATGACCTTATTAGCTTTTTTTGAATCCCGAGAACACAGACAAAGTTCCCTTGTTCGTTCTTGAGGTTTTCATTAAAGCACAGTCTGTTTCATCCACAGCACTAATATTAATGGGCTTGGGACACCTATAGTCAATTATCGAACGCACCACGCTCTTAATTCTCAGATCTCAAATCTCCTCCGGGGGCTTGGCCACTGACTTATCCCTCTTCCCGTCTTCCATGCCAACCCACCTCTTGTTTCAGGGAAAGAGGCCTGGGCTTCCCCTGCCTCCAGGCAAGGATAGATTCTGCTTCTCAGGAGGAACATAAGCTTGACTCTCAAGGGCTCACAAAAAGTTCCAAGGGTTCGTGTGTCGCAAGCCCTTGTGGTGTTTATAGAAAGGCAGCTGATGGGCCTCACGCAGCTGAACCCCACCCGTCCCCCTGCTTGCTTTGGCTAATAAGGGTGCAATAAGTGTACACTGGTGCCTCGCATAACGATGTTAATTGGTTCCAAAAAAACACATCACTATGGGAAACAGTGTTATGCGAAACGCGTTTTCCCATAGAGATGCATTGAAAACCGGTTAATCCGTTCCAATAGGAACGGATTACCGTCCTTAAGTGAAAAAACCCATTGGAAACATCGTTATGTGATACAATGTTTCCCCCATTGGAATGCATCGAAGCCTTTTCAATGGTTTAGCAAAAATCAATTTTTGCAAATTTAAGTGTGTCATAAAAGGGTCAAAAATGGTTTTAAATGCTTGGAATAGTTTCTGCACCTTCTAAAACAGGTGCAAACTTAATTTGGCTTTGATCTGACTTTTCGTTAATTTTTGCTGAATTTTTTTCTCCCCCACCAACTTTTGACAGCTGTCAAAAGTTGACAGCTCCATTATTTCCTATGGGGGAGGAAAAAATTCACAAAAAATTAACGAAGACTCAGAACAAAGCCAAACTTAGTTTGCACACGATTTAGAAGGTCCTCTAACGCACCCAAGCATTTAAAAACAGTTGCTGACTTTTCGTTAATTTTTTGTGAACTTATTTCTCCCCCACAGGAAACAATGGAGCTGTCAGATTTTGACAGCTCCATTGTTTCCTATGGGGGAGAAAAAAATTCAGCAAAAATTAACGAAAAGTCAGATCAAAGCCAAATTAAGTTTGCACCCGTTTTAGAAGGTGCTCCATCGAATCCCAGCATTTAGAACCGTTTTTGACCATTTTAAGATGCTTTTTAAAATGAAAAAACAAACATCGCTAAGTGAAGCAGGGGACCTAAAAACACATTCGCTATGCGAAGCATGGTCCCAAACTTCGCTAAGCGAAAATCGCCCATAGGAAACATCGTTAAACGGTGCATATTTTCTTAAAAACCCATCGTTATGCGAATTCATCGCTAAATGAGGCACTCGTTAAGCAAGGCACCACTGTATCCCGCTCTCCCTGGGAACTGTGCCGCCTTTGGAGCGGGTGCAGACCAAACGAGCTTAAACAACGTTTCAGTTCCGAAACTTTGCTCCTCCTGCCGAACTCTTTGTGCCAAACAGTGCAGAGCATTTTAAAATCAGAATAAAGATGACTGACTTTTTCCTACATGTTTTTCTCATTCTGATTTCTGACCCCTGCCTTGCTGACCCCAGCTGCCCAGTCAAAAAGGCCAATGGGCAGAAAAGAAGCCAGGAGAGAAATGGCCTTGGCCACCCTGAGGTGAACTTCGTGGCATCGTTAAAAGCAAACTGGGGTCTATCCTGGTCAGTGAACTGTACTAAGAAAGCTTAAGGAGAAGACGCCGGAGAGACAGAGCGAGAGAAAGAGTCAGTTATTCGCCGTGAAGTTGTTTCAAACAGGATACAACCACATCACCATCGCAGAACTGGAAGGGACCCTAAAGATCATCCAGTCCAGCCCCTCTCAAGGAAAGAGATAACATTCCTGGAAATTTTGAAGCCATATTAAAAAAAAAAGCTTTGGGAAAAACAGGGAAAAACCTTCTCCCCTCCCCCCAATTTTTCCAGTTTTTTTCCCCACAGGCCTTTAACCATCTCTAGGCCAAACTGGGTGTGTGTGCGATTTTTCCCCCTTCCCATTTTTTTCCAAAGCTGTTCCATGTGGCTTCAAAAATTTCCGGACATTTTACACATCTCCTCTCAAGGAGACCCTGTGTGTGTGGGGGGGAATTGGCATTCCCCATCTCTGGCTCTAACATTTTATTCTGCGCCCACCCGCTCACGACCTCTGGCAGGGCACCCACCCTCCACCTGCCTCCCCCCTCCTCACCTGGCGTCCCCGTCGTAGGGCCGCCGCAGGGTGGAGCGGCGCGCCTGCTCGTAGCGCAGCTGCTCATGTTGGCGGCGCAGCTCCTCCCTCTCGCGCTGGATGCGCTCCTGCTCCCTCCGCCGCTCCTGCTCGATGCGCAGGCGCTGGCGCTCCAGACGCTCCCGCTCCAGACGCTCCCGCTCCAGGCGCTGCCTCTGGAAGTGGAGGCGCTCCCGCTCCCGCTCCAGCCTCTGGCGCTCGTCCCACTCATGGGCCACCTGCAGGCGCTGCTCCCGCTCCCTGCCAGAGGACGAGGGGTTAAAAACAACATTAACAACAACAACACACACACATAGAGCAAGAGATCTAGACAGGCAGTGGGGGAACCTCGAAGTGGCCCCTCTTCCACTGCCACGGACAGCAAGAATCAAGGGGGGTAATGTCAACGTAAATAAATTTTTTGGAGGGTAAAAGGTTAAAAAGTTCCCTGACCCCTGCTCTATACCTAGAAAACCTTGGAAAGGGTCACCTCACAACTCTGAATATTGGGAAAAGACATCCTAACGGTTGGAGCAGTAGGACAATGGGACCCTTGACCTCAAGGAGGGCTCCAAGCCTGGAGGCACTTAAGAGAAAAATCAGACAACCATCCATCAGACCTACTTTGACTTGGATTCCTGCCTTGAGCAGGGGGTTGGACCGGATGGCCTTAGAGGCCCCTCTTCTAACTCTAGAATTCTATGGCATGGGGATGATGAGGATTTCATTCCAAACATCGGGGAAGGCACCAGCTGGGCTGCAGCAGAAAACAAATCAGGGACTCTTTGGGAGGTGGCAATTTGATGTCATGTGCTAAATTTCATTGACAAAATGATAAATGACATTTGCCATGACTTTGAGACACTCGACCATTGAACTCTGCAGACGTTCTGGGGCTGCCCTCGTTTAACTCCACACAGTAGCTTAGAAGAAAATGCTTCTAAATGAGGACCACCAAGGTTATCGTACCACTAGGGCCCGTCGCTTGTCCCAGCTCCCGCCAACCTAGCAGTTCGAAAGCATGCAAATGCAAGTAGATAAATAGGGACCACCTCAGTGGGAAGGTAACAGCGTTCCGTGTCTAAGTCGCACTGGCCATGTGACCATGGAAGATTGTCTTCGGACGAAAACGCTGGCTCTATGGCTTGGAAACGGGGATGAGCACCGCCCCCTAGAGTAGAACACGACTGGACAAAAATTGTCAAGGGGAACCTTTACCTAAGGGACCCACCACCTAAATAGGAAAAACGTCTGGTCAAAGAAGCCATCATGACGAGAGGGATCAGGATTTTAAAAGAAATGTCAGAAAAGGCTCTTGCTTTCATGTGGAGAGAAAACTCAAAAAAGATTCCAAGTCAGATCTTGCAGGGCTGATTACAAAAAAAGGGATGCACAGAAATGATGATGCACATGAAAGCAAACGTAACGCTGTGGGTTTTCTACTGAGAAAACGGTAATAATTACTTGTCTTGATTAGAGCACAAAAAGGTGCTCTAATCAGGAGAGGGTAAAACAAAGTACACCAGTATGGTTAAAAGGAAAAAATGTGTCAGCCTCTTCTGTTTAAACAAGGATCCTGGAAAACAGGTCCTTAGAACAAGAGGGGTCGGGAGAGGCGATAAAGGCTGGGGCGCTTTCGCTGGGAAGCAGAACCCAGATGCAGAAAAAGGTGAGGGCGACAGAAGAGATGACGTTCAGAGAGGACGAGGTCTGCTCCAGATAAGGATCTTGTAGCCATTCCGGAAGCAGAGAAATCCTTTCAATGGTGGGGGGAAACTGGGAGAAAGGGGCAGCCCCGTCGTCTTATCCTTAACAGCTCTGCGAAATTTAGAAAGTGAAATAATTAAGCTGACACGCACCAACTACCCCCAGTTTCCGCCCACTCTTGCAAGGTGGCTCCTTTCCGGATCGCACTCAGAGCTGCATTCCTCACCCAAGCCGGGAGCCCGGCTGGGTTTTTTCTTCCAAAGGCAAAAAGCAGGGGCCACCATGTCGGTGCAAAAGAAAACCCAGAGGCAACGAGACCTCTGTGGGGCCAACCCGAAAGGGATAGAAAAGCTTGTCAGCTTCCTATAAACACTGATCGCTTTTGATAGGTGTGGCACTGAAGGGGGGGGGGATCCTGGGAGCTAGACTGATCCCAGATCCGTTCAGAGTCTTTACCAGCCTTTCTTAACCCCTTTTTTCTGACAATGGCAATAAAAACAATATGAACTAATTATAAAGCAGAAAGAATCCTGTAAGTCGGTGTTGTGGGGAACTGTTTCCAGCCTGTGGCTGCCTTGAAATGGGCCAGGGATCCCATTCCATGATCCTATGCTTTGGGGGATCCCGAGGACACAAACCGGCTTCTGAAAAACCTGCCCAAAGAGAACAAGGGCCCACCTTTCTTATTCTTACACAGTCCGAGGGAGATGCGACCTGCCTGAATTCCAAGAATGTCTTTCTTTTTAAAAAGCCTGGAAGCTCTTAGAAAATAACACACACCTCCCTTGTGTCAAGAGGGAGGGTGTTTCTGCTAATCTCAAAAAGGCCCGGCTGGCCATGGGGCTTGGAAAGAAGGCAGGGGTACCTTTGGGTGCCACCCACCTCCGCCGTTCGGACTCTCGGAGCTCCCGCTCCCACTGCCTCCGACGCTCCCGTTCGCGCTGCTCTTTGATCTTGTCAAAAGACAGGATATCCTGCTTCTCTTTGCTCTCCGACTTGCAGTCCTGACTCTTTGTGCTCTAGAATGCCGGCGGGGGGAGGGAGAGGGAAGGGGGGGAAAAGAAAGAAAGAACAGCAAGGATTCAAAACAAGCAGATTGAAATAGGGCCTTGGACCTGGTCTTCCTCCCGGGAGGACCGGCAGAGAGACTTCACCCTGGCCCTGGGGATCATGGGACAACAGACCCCAGCAATCCTAAGGAAGGGGTGTGCGTTTCTACACCAAGGGGCAATGCTGACATTTAGGGATGTAACTCCAGCCCTACTTGGCTGGGGTCCACCGTCCTTTGTAGGCCGTGTGCGTTACAAAAGAGGAGGGGGACCCATTCAAGACATTTGGACAACAGGGGGGAGGAAATGGGATGTTCTCGAACTGGAGTCCAACACCTTTCGGGGCCAGGTAGTGGAGTCAACGTTGAGGAAGGGCAGGAATGAAAGCCCATCTGCCCCTGGAGGATTGTATGCTCCACCCCCGTTTGTGAAGCACAAGGAGAATGTGGGAATCCGCAAAGATTCATCTCGGGGTCTACCTTTCAGTTTGAACATTTACTCTTTTGAGATGAATCCATGAGTTTCTCAGCCAAAGACCTGGTTCGGGGCTACTTCCCCCCCCCTTCTGCTCTGGAGTCATCCAAAGCGGCAGGGAGGGGAAATCTGACCCCACCAGGCATTCAGGGCTTCTCCTCCAAAAGGCCCCGGTTGGCAAAGGCAGCGTTTCAGATTTGGGGGAATTTTCGTCGGAAATTTTTGCAATTTATTTGTTTATTTCAAATATTTATCTGCTGCCTTTCTCCTAAAGGACCCAGAGAGGGATCCCATGGCTGTCTTCTGCAAGCGGCTATAGGCCTGATATGCCTGTCGACCACGAAAGCGGGGGGCATTCCTGTTTTATGGGAGTCACCCTGACGCAGAGGTTTGGCCCCCTTGTCTGAAACCTAAGACTTACTCGTTCTTTCGACGTGCTTGAGGTTTTCACGCTGATGACCGGCTCCCCTTTGGATTTGTCCATGACGACTGTCCGCTCAGTTCCTCTGCTTGCTAGGATGGAGGGAGAAAAGTAATGTACTTGGGCATTCTGATGGTCCTCAAAACAGCAGCACTTATCAGACGTGTCTCTTGCAAGGGAGAAGGCCATGCTTAAAGGCATCAATGTTACTTTCAGATTAATTTGACTGTTTTTCATCTCAATCCTTTGTTTCGGTTTGTCCTGCGGCATTACTTTGTTTGCATTCCTTGGATGCAAACCTCCCACAGAAGTGCCCAGTACTAATCAGGCAGCGTTACAAAGCCTTGCTTTTCTTTTAGTATGGTATAGGGTTTGATCCTTTTAAATGCTTGCGTATTCCCTGCTGCCATTTTTAATAGTGTATTTTCTTGATGTAACCCACATTGGGTCCTTTTTAAGATGACGGGATAAAAATATTTTTAAATAAATAAACTCATCCACGGCATTTCAGATGAACAATAACGAAGAGGCCCATCCATGTGAGAAGTTCAGCAATGTTAATACTCAAGGCCACAGGAAAATAACCTAAGCAGGGACTTGCAAACCAAAACTCCAATAAAAGTTAAGACTGGATCAGCAAAGGAAGTACATACATTCCTGATCTCATTTAAAACAAGACTAAATGATTGCTCTCAACACAACAAAACAGTGCTTTGACAGGATGCCTTTGGCATGGTGTACAACAGTCTTTAAATCTCTTATTTCCTCCTGCATTTAAACAAAGATACAGTATATGCAGAAAAAGAGCTTTTATTGTGTCCGATGGCTCCAGAAGCCTATTCTATATGTGGTTCCACATGAGTCACTATTCTGAATGTCACTTTACAACAGAAAGCCACACCTACAGAAGCAATACACAGCAGGCAGCCTCGTCTGAGGACAAGCTGCCTCAGGTGTGACTCAAAGATCCAACTGTGTTCCCCCCCCCCAAGAGATTGACTAATTAGATGCACAAAGCTACCTGGGAGAAAGAAAGTATAATGGCTGGCTGACTGGCTGGCGGTTCAAAAATGCAGGAAAAGAACCCAACAAGAATAAATTGACAACAGAGAACTATAAACAAGACACACAGAGGAAAAAAACAGATAACCATCAGAATACAAGAAGCAATGAAAACCACCGATTTTTTAAAAAAGGATATTGATTTAAATCACAATTTCTATTTTTTTAAATGTGAGTTTTTTAAAATTTTCAACCCAATCCAACCTGAAAAGGCCTGGATTAATAAAACGCGACCAAAAAGGCCACACAGCTTATTCTCCACCAGATGGAGGGGGTGCAACATGCTATCCTCAGCTCAGGCCAAACAGGGGAAAAAAGCAAGCAGGCCAGAGTATACCACATCGGATACAGACAAAGTGGCCGCTCCCTTCGGAGCAACTTCCGAATTTTGGGGTGGGTGGGGATTTCACTGTCTCTGTGGCAGCATCCACATTTTGGAAAGCATTTATGCCAAAGCTTTGGCACTCAAGCCCTCCCACCACCTCCTGCTCATGAAGAACCCCACGCTGGCTCTCCCGGCGTTGTTTTGCTCCCATGCTTGCGACAAGAGTTTGAACCACACTTTTCCTGGGTGGCAGGAGGGAGGGAGGGAGCCTTTGATGCTGGACGGCGCCTTTCCACAAAGCGAGGCCGTCCTGTCCAATCCACCGAAGCAACTCTCCAGCACAAAAAACAAGACGGTCCACAAAAAAGCGTACTCACCTGATTTAGTAGACCTCAAGCGGCTAACAGATCTCGCTTTGTGTTCCTCCTCTGTTGTTTTCCCTTCTTTCTCTTCGCTGCCACTTTTCCCTTCTGGTTTCTTGGCCTCATCCTTTCTGTCCGCTTTTTCGTCTTTCTTAAGGCTGAGCGACCTACAAGAAGACAAAAGCTCAGCAACCTCAAATGCGACCAGAGACGCAGTGTGCGTTGGATGCATATGTATCAATGCAAAACCAACAAACATCCTTCCATTAGAAGTTAAGGGAATCTACAAGGATTCACTCCTGTGCATCACAACTCTCTAGAAGCTG